TGCTGTATATTCTTGTTCTCCTCATTCTAATGGGTAAGTGGTTCAACATACCTGAGATAGTTTTGAAGGTTTAAACTTGTAGCGGGAAAAATCTTAAAACCTGTGATGGTGATAGACTTTTGAATCTATTTAATATAGAACTGATGGCATTGTGTAATGTACGTATTGTAAGACTATAGGCATCAACAAAAAAATGTAAAAACACAAAATAAATTTACCCTCCATGATAGAATCACCTCAAATTTTTTAAAATCCTTTCTTTATCTAGCATAGCTATTATTATTATTATTATCACAGTGGTGATCCTGGCAATTCATTTTAAAAGCTTAATTCAGATTTAAATGTTGAATAGAGCAAAAAAAAAAATTTGTAATCTATAATTTTCTGTTTTCTTGGTGTATAAATGCGATATGACTGAGGCTTTATTTCCTTTATCTAGCTTCATAGAAGGATAGGGAAGAAAAAAATGACACTCATTCAAGACCAACATGTGACACTAATAAAGAAAAAGTTCGTTGTTGACACAGGAACAGTTTAATGTAATTTTAAACCTGTGACACAATGCATGTAGGAACCCACAATACATTGTGAGGAAGACTGTAAAGCAGGGTTCCTCAATTCTGGCCCTAGAGTGCTGGGGTCTTCATCTTTTAGATATATCTCTGTTCAAGATACCTGAGTCCAATAATAAGGCCATTAGCAGGATTCAGGAGAACTTAACTGCATGCTGAACAGTGTTAATTTTGTCAGCTTTTTTAATTTAGTCTTAGTCTTAGTCACAAAGACAAAAATCAATTTTAGACTTAGTCATATTTAGTCATTGCCTTCCCTATTTAGTCTTAGTCAGAATGACGAAAATACATTTTAGTCTTGGTCAAATTTTAGTAATCTTTGTCATTTTAGTCATTTTATTCAACACTGTAAATAATAAGAACTTCTCCACACACTGCTTCTCTTTTTAACATATATAAGACACTGTAAAGAATAAAACTTCTCCACACACTGTTTTTTTTCTCTATTTTATTTATATAACACTGTGCAGAATAGAACTTCACACAATGATTCTCTTTTTAACCAGAGATGGCAAAAGTACTCACTTTCCGTACTTGAGTAAAAGTACAGATACTTGTGTTAAAAAATACTCTGGTAAAAGTGGAAGT